TTATTGACTCGGTTGGAGCTTTTTTCTTCTCCCAACTGAAAGTTATACACCATAAATTCTTCATGAAAGCCCAAAATCCTCGCAAAATTCATAATTTTTCCAAATTGCGTCGTGGACGTCTTGCGTAATACATCGGGAGATATTTTCAGTATTTTTCATTCACAGTATCGAATAGAGAGCAAGGAATTCTTCTTTAAAGGTGACTCTTCAACACACATTCTGAGAACACTCGAAGCTCTGGCAAAGAGAAATATTACCTGAGCTGGAAAGAAGTGTCTGCGGAGGGTGAAAATGTAGTCAAAATTGATATTCTCTCCTATGGATTTTCCAAGATGAAAACTGAGGAGGAACCTTCTGAAGGACTGCGTCGAAAAGTCTCTCAAATACTTGAGAATTGTACTAATTGTACAGATATTATGATACAATGTTTACCCAAGGTTTCACTCCCTAATTTGATATATTATTTCATTTTCTCACAAAGGGACACCGAAATGAGATATCATTTCAATTTCATGGTGTGATAAATATCTTCTCCTCCGCGCGGACAAAATCCCTTGGGCGTCTTTGAAGGAATAAAAATTCAAATTCCTTCCGTCCAAGTAAAACAAGTCGGGCAGTGTTGACTTCATGTTATTGATTAGGTTACAGGAACGTGCTTCTTGCGAAATATAGCATTTTTAGCTCAGCGAACAGTGATGAACATAAATAAAATGGGGGGTCAATATAAGGGTGTAACACTAAGTGGACCAAGTTTTGGATTACCAGAAGGATCGAGTTTCAATATCCAGCCCTTCAGGAAGTTGATGAGTAAAGTTCATAAGCTAACTTTGTCCTTTCTTCTGCGCAAACAACATTTGCCCACTACAAAAGTGGATAAACCACTTGATTGCTGATAAATTATCCAGTTTTACATTGTAACCTCTAATACTGGGGAATCTTCTCAAGGACAGGAAAAAGCCTCATGAAAACAGATTTGGATTAATAAATTCACAAAAACGAGCCTGGGCTCTTGCGATCAGTTTTATGTGGGAGGAAAATTACTGGGTGAATTAGAAAATTCGGATCTAAATTGGTCCCTCCATATTCTCGCATATGTTTTACATATTTAAACATCACCTCTTGTACACCCACACTTGTATGTTATTTGATTTTCGAGATGATTCACTCAGTCGGAGTTTTCTTGGCGCAAATTTTCTTATTAACTCCATGGAAATTAATACCGAGAATGAGTACCTCGACGATGCATAGATGTATTTATTTTGCCTCACCAAGAAGCTCATTAAAGATTCATTCAAGGCTGAATTTTCCGCACTTGCTCAGCTTCCACCCAGAAATCTCTTAGTCTGGGAAATGGTGAAAAAAAATCTGTAATGTCTACAGAACCTTTGTTGACTCAAGCGGCGAATTCTTCTCTCTGTTCTTGTGTGCGGACGCAAAAATCGTATAATGATATGAGAGGATGTGTGATTTAATTAGAAACTAGCTGACAATGGACTTTTCAATTTGCCTTTGGAGAGCTTTATATGAGGGACTGGGAAATGTGTTGAGATGAAATAAAAGCGGAAATCACCCTAATATTTCTAACGACGTCCTGCATGCATGAATTTCCTCAATTTATACTGCGAAATAACATATAAATGATGTGCGCCGCCCCACAACTTCGGCCTCATGTACACACACCCTCAATGAGAGGCAACTCGCTCGCAGGAGCATGTGAAATGCTACATGGCTCTCAAGTTCCATTAGGATCCGAGCTTTTATTAGTGGCACCGTAGTTATGTACTTACATGTAATCTTGAGGTTTTCATAATTAATATTGTTATAACCAGTGATATTATTTGACAAAATTGGGTTTCTTCAATTAACATTAATGCGGATACACGTACACCAAACTATTCCAAGAACCCACTCAGCCATGGTGATGCATCACACGGTCCTCGACCTCGCTAGTGAAACTATCGAAAATTATAACATACTTCCATTATTATTATATATGACTGGAAACAATTTATCGCTGCAATAGCGATATTTCCTACTATCTAGGATAACTATGACTGGATAGCGGTGGCTTATTAGGCATGCGAAGCACATTGGTACACTTCGAAACTCGCAAATTAATCAATGGTTTCCGTACAGTGCCGTGTAGCAAAAACCTCCCAACATATACGAGTAACTTTTATCCCGGGAACTTTCATAAATATTGACACACACGCCCTGGAACAGCAATCCCCGACTCATTGCCCAAGTGTTGCGAGAGCTTTAAAGCCATGGCCACGTAATCCCAATGAACAAGGCACGGTGTGACCATTGCGGGGTCGCTCAAAATGCAATGAAGAGATCACCGAGTGATAAGTTTCACCCGTCACACTTCACAAAAGCCTCACAAATCCATCAAATTTTGATAATAATATTCCGTAATTGAAGCAGGACACAAAGTTGGCACAAAGTACTCAAACCCTGAAGGTTATTTAATATTTATCATTGAACTCTTAGCCAAGGTGGAATGGCTAGAAATCCTTACACCACTTTCACACACTTTCAACATTTTTAAAACTGTTTTAGAGTAAAAAAAAAAGAGGGTTTTTTGGGGTTATTAAGAGAATCTTGGAAGGAATTCCAGAAAAATTATCAAACAGTAAAGTAAAAATCTATTTTTGAAGTTTCACAACTGGAAAATTATTGACATTTGATTAATAGGAAGAATTAAATGTTTTTGGTAATTATTTATTTAATAAATCTTGCTTAACTTCGACGCATAACCTAGAAAATCAATATTTGAAATTTTATTTTTGTATGAATTTCTGTCTTGTTCGCAGAAATGCATCAATTGATGTGAAAATAGATTTGAAAAAACCTACTTCCGCTAAGGTGTACACCACTTCTGCTCATATTATCTCCCCTTGCTCTTAGCAATGAATCTACGACAATTGTCATGGAGATTGGCACATTTTCGACACATTGTCTAAAAATAACACTTTATAGGCTGTAGCACGAGGAAAAGCTCCAAGCGGCTAATTATAAAGTCTGTCTCATTCATAACCAAGTGAATAACAAGATACCACTCGAAGATTCCACTCGATTGTCTGTAAAACTCGAATTAAATTCATGTGAGATTCAATAGAATTTGGAACAATGTGGAAGCCATGTTGGAGTGAATAAACTCCGAAAATTAATTTCCCTTTCGATTGAAATGTCTGTCCCATATATTAAAAGTTGAATGATGTTTAAACAGTCTCCCGTTTTGGGAATACATTTCCCTCGAAAAAAGTGGTTCGGGATGTGAATTTGGGAAAGGGACAAGAAAAAGAATCAAATGCAAACTGAAGGTGAGCGAATGTTGATTGTTTGAAGATGTCAGGATTGAGGAAATCTGGGGCTTCCGGAAATATTTTCTGGCCTTTCGGCACGAGAAAGTCATATTCCTCCCTCTTTGGACACTTTTCCTTCCTTTATTATACAGGCCAAATCCACATTTCTATATGTCGAGGGTCTACCGCTCGTTGTATACATGGGGTTGACATGAGCAGGAGTGATATTGCAAATATTTACCCATCACAGAATCTCATATACGGGAACAGGACGCCGGGAAAAAGTATCACGCACATTGAAAATACATTTTTTGCTACCCTCCCAAATTCATGGTTACATCACGCTCTCGTATCGAACTATTTTAATCACTTTTTGTGTACACTTCGTCTAAAATGCCAAGGATGATAGAAAGCAATTAGGGTAATTCAGTCAACTTTTTCGACTCTCCGTTTTTTTTTTAATTAAATTTCAATTTGCAATTCAGTTGGGTCTAACAGCATCAAAAAAAGCGCACCACATAGCTGAAATGCAGATAGAGGACACCAAATACAGGATGTTAATGGATAAAAATCTACATATATGTATATTTTAGACCTAATATTGCGAACACGTATTTTAAACTCAGAGTGGATTAGTACATAGAGCAGAGCGTTATAATTGAATATTGCCTTGTTTTCAAAAGCGAGCAATAGAGTGTGTTGTCATAGTCCCGCCCATTCGTTAGCCCCGCCCACTGCTGAGGCAGACAGAAGTGATAAAAAACACATCAAACATATAGAGTAAATAGCCATAATACATTTAATTTTCTGCACTCTGCATTACATCAAGCTCGCAATTATAAATTCGTTCATATTAATGTGTTTTATAGATTTTCCTGACACACACTCAAATTGGACCTGACATGGAACTGTATATTACCCAATTAAATTGCAAAACTTTTCAATCTTTCCCCCCAAATTAATGTCAAATCGATATGACGAGAAAAGCTTGCAGAATACTTTCCATCACGATTTCGAGGTGCTTTTGGAAATTCGCCGCAATCTTCTATTAAGATTATCTGGAGTGTGTGATGCTTTTTGCAAAATATCCATGCAAATTCCTCGTCTGTTGCGAAGGCTTTAAGCTATTTCACAGATGCGATTATCCGCTATGTGGCACTGCAGATCTCGTTTTTGCTCTCACCCATATCTTGAAATCATCTTATCATGTCCCACGGGGGTGGCGACGATTTCTTGCCAAGTTAATCGATTCATAGAGCGACAAATTCTCTTTTATGACCCCTCTTGAAGCTGTCTATCTGACTGGCGGTGCGGTTTAATGGCGATGGTTGGCGCTGTGGGGGCAAAAGTGTTGTGTTGCGAATGACAATAATATATTAGAAGACAATTCATAATAATTACCTAACGTGTATTATTTTCCACGAAAATCCCGCAATTTTTCACTTGTGCAAACCATAAGCTCCTCAGAGGTCACATTTATTTCCCTTCCATTCGCCGTTTGCGTGGCAAAAGCTCTGCGGCACAGAATACAATTCCTTCCCCTGTAATCACATAGAATTAGTCTTGCAGTGATTGCACGACCAATTGTGTTGCTCGAGACATTGATAAATGCTTGCTGTATTTTGAAAGTAATAATTTTTAATTACATTTCACGATTGCTCTCTATCTGTCTCGTTCTGGGTTTTCTTGCAGGTCGCCCAAGGCGCGGAGGGTGAGCAGTGATGGTGGGCAACGAGGATGAAGAGGCCACAGGAGAGGAGATTTTGCACATTACATTTCAATAATTGAGGAATTGCCAACCGATGTGGATGGAGTTGAACATGGACAGGAGATTTCCAGCATTTGCAAATTTGCATATTTGATTGGGGGGCGAATTTTCCGATAGAGCGCACATACACACACCCCCAGAAGGGGTTGGGGCAGATAAAAAGAAAAACCGGGGCGAAAGGGTGCGACAGCCAGCAAGAAATGAAGTGGATTTTGGTGTTTATCTTACTCCTCTGCCACGTCATTCGCCGAATAATGTCGTCATGTCCATTGGAGGTGTGCATATGCAAATGGAAGGGTGGCAAGCAGACGGTGGAGTGTGGCGGCAGGAATTTGCTAAATCTGCCCGACCGCATGGATCCCGGTACTCAAGTGCTTAACTTCTCCGGAAACAGCCTTACGAATTTACCCGCTGAGCGATTTCTGCGGATGGAATTGATAAACCTGCAGAAAATCTACCTTTCGCGCAATCACATCATGAAGGTGCACGGCAGGGCGTTCAAGGGTCTCACGAATCTCGTCGAGCTGGACCTCAGCGAGAACATGCTCACAAGCGTGCCCACGGAAACCTTCCAGGACTACTCATCGCTGATGAGGCTGTCACTGAGTCGGAATCCCATCAGGGAGCTGAAGACGGCCTCCTTCAGACACCTGTCGTATCTCACCACGCTCGAGCTGAGCCACTGTCAGATCGAGCTCGTGGAGAATGAGGCCTTCATCGGGATGGACAATCTGGAGTGGCTGCGCCTGGATGGGAATCGCATGCACGCGATCCAGGGCGACAGTGTGCTGCCCACCTCGCTTCACGGCATTGATTTACATGGAAATCAGTGGCGCTGCGACTGCCACCTAATCGACATCCACAGTTGGCTCATGAGCACAAATGTGCCCCAAATTGAGGACCCCGTGTGCGCATCCCCGGCCCGACTCGTGGGTGTCCCCATAAAGACTGTGTCAACGGAGGAGTTGGCCTGTCTGCCCCACATAACGCCGACCACGCTGTACTTGGAGATTGCCGAGGGCAGAAATGTGTCGCTGTACTGCAAAATAACCTCAATACCGGAATCTACAGTGTCATGGTGGTTTCAGGGGCAGATCCTGCAGAATGAATCAATGGTAACAAACAATTTGCATCTGTACTACTATATCGACGAGGGAATTGAGGAGAAGCGTAGTGATTTATTCATCTACAATGCAAATGCCGAGAATAATGGCACATTTGCTTGTTTAGCTGAAAATGCGGCTGGTCGCTCGCAGGCCAACTACACAATACGTGTCATTGTGAAGGAGAAGCAAGTGGTTGAAGATGTCGTCACCCTCACGGACGAGCATTTGTTCATGATGTACAGCGTGGGCGGTGGGGTGGGTGGCATTTTGCTCATCATTGCATGTATCATCATCTGTAGATATGTTAGACGCTCCAAGGTACCTAATGACATTCGTATTAATGAGGTGAGTTTGGAAACTTCACCCACGGCAAATCAAGTGCTCAAGACGCCACACACCAACCACGATATTTCATCGCCATCCGACCCAAATACAATAAATAAGCACAGCATTAATGGCAGTGTGGCACCCAATGGCACCATCAAGAGCTCCACGGCGCTCCTAATCACCGATGAGAATTTCATGCGAAGGGTGGACTCACCTCAGGTGGCCGCCGGACGCGCCTGTGGTGGCGCCGATCCCAACCCAGACTTAATTAATGACGCCGAGAGCAAGGGTCAGATGTGCAATGATGCACGATTAAATGCGTCACGCATCGCATGTCTGCCAGTGCGCGGCGTCAATCGCGATATGTACTACGAGAATGACGTTCACCTCAATCCCATCAACCTCTTCGGGGCCCACGGAGAGTGTCCCAAAGTCACCATGGTGGCCGCGCCGGACAAAATCCTGCAAGTCACGGAGTTCAGTCGCTTCGGCACCATGCCGCATCCCTCGCGCGTGAAGATGCACACCTACACGCCGCTGCGCTACTCGCAGGAGGCGGAATTTCTCAAGCAATCGGCCGACCAGAGGGCCTTCGACATCTACACTCCGCCTCCCAACCTCCGCTGCACCGTGGACGGCTATCCCTACGGGGCGCAGGTGGTGGCGTACAAGACGACCGACAACAGCCACCTCTTCCCGTCGCCGCCGGAGCCCTTCAAGAACGACGCCACCCCCTGCAATCCCATCGTGTCCTACAACGCGTGGTACTCGGCACCGCAGCCCTGGCCACCATGCCTGCCGGCCTACCAGATCAAGGTGAAACCGTGCGACGTGACGGAGAAGCGAAGCGCCTCGGCCCAAACGCTGCCGCCAGATCCACCCGAGTGCACAACCCCGGCCACCATCGTGGAGGAGGCGGGCGAGGAGGCGGAGGAGAAGGCCGAGGCGCAGAAGAGTGACAGTGAGTGCGGTGAAGAGAAATTGAAACACTTCCCCCTGGCTGATAGTCCCGATGAAGGATACGAAGACATGAGCCAAGAGGGGATGTGACGAACACAAGGAAATGGTACAACTTCCACTTCAAATAAATTCTCCACGTCATTCAATGTTTTTTCATACTGCAACTCAGCGGGTGTCCTCATAGAGGATGACGCCGTGGCACTGTAATTAATTACACAATCCCCACACACAAATATAAACAACACACACACACACACACTGCCGGAATAGTTGAATCCACCTCAAATACATTACACATTTCACGGCACTCCTCTCAGATCGATTAGAGAAAGAAGATCATGTTATAAGTAAAGTTTCACATGACGCATTAAGAGTCGCTGCAAAAGAATTTGAAATTAATTCTATATATAGAGTTTCAATGGAGACGCCTGGTTTGCGCTGCACCATTTTTGTTAGAAGACTCCTATGAATACAATGATACTTGCGAAATTGACTTGGTTTGGTGCATTTTTCTTCTCCACCAAAGTTCTATCTCAACTTTTCCACATATTTCAATGCAAAGAGGATTTAAAGTTTCACGATATTTGGTGAATCGATGGAGATGACTGGTTGTTTTTATTTATCAGGGTAAATATAAGAAGTCATATGCAATATTTATCGATCTGGCAGGTAATGTGCTGCTATTTTTGAAAAAGAAAGAAATAATTTAGGTATTCAATCAGTAACTTTACATGTATATCTAACGATTTATAATGGAAACGAGGAGGATTTTTGCTAAATCATGTAAGATACTTATACAGTTAGAACATAATCAGTGGTTTCTATGAAGAATTGTGAAATTTTCAACATTTCCCTCACAGAACTTTCGTTAGCAATTAATTTTTGTGATATCAACACAGACTGATATTTTAATGGCTCAATGTTTTTTGCAAAAAAAAGGTTCAGCAGAGTTTTGTTCTTCCTTACGGAGGTGGATGTAATTTACTTTTTCCCCCAACTGTTCACACTAAAAGGCATGATCATGAGGATTTCTTTGTGCGACAAGAGAGCTTTAATCGACATTAACTTCTTTTTGTTATTACACTTCCTCAAATGGGAGAAAAGGCGCGCAGGGGATAAGGAAACATGTTGACACGATAAACAATGAAGAAATATTGAGGATATTTGTGAACCAAAACAACACAAACTGTTAGCAATAACAGGCAGAGAAATACAAGAAAAACACTTTTAATAGCGATAAAATAATTGTATTATTAGTAATTTGTACCTACGAGTAATGAATAAATATGAAGAAAGGTATTATATAGAGAGAGATGTACATAGTAGACCATACTCTTAAGGATTGCGTCTCTAAATTAGACGATAAAGACTCTTTATTTTATCGTAGAGCGACAAAGAGAGAGCAAAATTGAGAAGCCAACTTCCTTCGGTTGCCCTCTTATTTTTTGTTAATTGGGAAATTACCCCCATTGTAGGAAAACTGTAAAGAGTTGAAATTGGTATATTGTGTAAGGAGGCAAGACAAATGAGAAAGAGAATAAAATAAGACTAATGATAGAAAAATTAATAGTTGCCTTTCACTTCTCCACGGACCGCCCAACCACCCACTTTTCCCCGGAGAATGACTTTGATAAAAGTGCTCGAGAGCAGCTCTGAAGATGCTGTCTAATGGGATAATAAATGGCCATGGAAGGTGGTTTGCAGATGTAAAACAATCAAATAAATCGAAATTCAACTGAAAATTTATCTCTTCACAATAGATAAGAATTAAGGATATTTTCTCCGTGCACTTTGATCTCTCTCACGAAGCCGTAATCAAGAAAAATGCATGGAATATTTTGCAGTCTTTGCAGCACATGTGCATCGAAGGAGTGAACGCTGAAATATAATGCCAATTACCTGTGCATAAAATCCTCAATCGAATGCCGATGCATAGCTTTAGGGTGGAGAAAAAAAACCTGAAGAAGATCCATGAAAATAAATTTTATTTACTCCCTGAAAGAGTTTCCATGTAAACCGGGTGAGAGCTGCATTTTTTAATAAGAAATGCGCAAAGAAAGAGAGTTCAAAGTTGATACAGTGGAACATAAAGTTTACATTGTTTATGGCTATGGGATATCCTTTCCCACCCATGAAGAAATGATGGACTTCACCGCAGAAAGCAAGTAAGGTAAGTGAGCACAGTAAATATTTGGATTTCTTCCAATATAAAACTTTTCATCCTCAAACTCGCCTTGTAATTGAGTAAAAAATATTTCTGTGCCAACGCACAGCACAAGAAACAAATGGATATCTCGCAACTTCTATATAGAGTTACAAACTGCATGGGAAGTGCTTTAGTACCATCGATCGGGCCTCTCGTTTCACACACTTAAGTAAATTTCTCTGAAGATACAATCGGTAATTTCGTTTAAAATCAATTTGCATGCAGATTTGTCAATGGCAGTTGAGTGTCAGGCATCGAGCCGTGAAATTCAGAGTTCTTATCGTATTAGAAATTGATTTTCATAGACATAGATGAATTACTGAAATAAGATATTACATATGCGGAATATCTAATCGCATCTATGATGTGAAAATATCATCTATAGTGTGTTTATAAGTGGGCGGAGCATTCGAGTGGGAGGAGAATCGCCCAAAAAATATCTCTCGCTAGACTAATCCCGAAATATATTTTTTTTTAAAGTATGTTCACAATATTTTGATTGGGATTATTCGCGCAGGATTTACATTCAATTGCTGTTCGTGAGCACAAAATGAACTTTTGCCACTGGAATTGCAGAACAGAGGAGGAGCTGGAGAAAGGACACTCTATGTGAACTAACATAATTTGGAAGCTTTGCAGGGATTATCAGGAATATCCTATGAATTATTGAGAAAGCAGCATTTTTCACCCACTTTACTCCACAATGAATAACTAAAGAGGATTTATTGATTTTTATTTGTCGGGGAAAAAGAGGAATTTCTATATAAAACTGTAGCGAATATTGCAACAATTGTTATTTAATTTTTATTATACAAATGTTAGCAGGTAATTTTTCATGATGCGGATCATTAATCGTGCGTGGGAGAATTTGGGTAGCATTTGGGGCAATAATAAAATTTTGCTATTATTTTACACCGTATTATTTATAATGGTGCGCTCTCTTGTGAGAAATAACCCGACAATTTTTCATTCTGTTATAGACCATTCTTTATACCACAGCAGAAACCCTTTTATATGTTCACACTCAAGGTGTGTCTAACTTAAAATAGACACAGAGACAGCAGATGCAGAAAACTGACACGATGAAACCCAATTTTGCTTGAATTGGCGATTAATGATGATAATAAGTCAAGTGGAAAACCATTGGAAATATTCGTTTCAAATTCATCCAACTTCAATTTTGAGTTATTCTATCACAAAGTCAATTTTCCTGTGAAGCTGCTGTGACGTAACAGTCTCAATGTCTTCCTGAATTCATCCATTCTGAGCGCCAAAATGAAAATTACACTAGTCATGTGAATAAAGAAGATTTTGAGCCAAGAGTTGTTCTTAAATAAATTCATCAAAACAAATTCGTTTCGTCTTTTCCTTCTCTAGCCCAAGACTTTCAGCTCATATTAAAATGTCAGAATGATAAAAGAATATGAGAAAGTTTTCAGCATAAATTATCTAAGGACTGCGGAGTTGTACGTGAACATCGTCAATATCGTATGAAATTGGAAATTCAGAGACACAGATAAAGAGAGTCAGAGAGAGAGAAAGGAAAAGCCATAAAGATGGATATTGAACATGAAATAAACATCCCGAATATCTAGTCAGGTGGAGAAGTTAATCATTCGCGATATTGAATGCGGTTGAATCCCGACAATCACAATAGCATAGTTTGGTGTGTGCTCCGAGAGTGAAATGGGCAAAAGTGTAAAAAGCCCGTAGAATCAATAAGTTTGTGATGCTCGTGGGTGCTTATGGAGCATCGCATGAATTTTTCAAAGGGTATTATAACTTAGTTTCTCTCACCTTCCATACCCAGAAATTCGACACTGCTTTTGGCCACCACAGACCACCCATTTATGGCGGTGGAATATCTTAGCTATAGTAAAAATGGTGAGAGACTAAGAATGAGAGCAAGTTAGAATGAATCCATGTACAACGAAGCTATCAAGTGGATTCGTAGTTATAATATATGTGAGATGGTTTTGCTCTGCGCGAGATGCTCCTGTACCCTCTATACGTGATTCCCATCTCTAAAGACTGCCTGGGAACAACCCTGCACACACACACGCCTTTCCCTCTCGAGCCACGACCGAGGGGATGAACTCACGTGGAAAGGGGTCTCAGTGGAGGCTCAAGGAGACGAGAGGACACGGAAAAAGTGGCTATAGAGCTGTGAGTATAAAATTGAAATACACTTCTGTCTTGTTGGTGCCGAAACTCGCCTATAGGCTGCTCAGTATGGAATTATGGGGGATCAGCAGCTGGAAATTGGGGAATATTTTGTGGATTGAAATGGGAATTTAGGAATGCTTCAATATTTCATGAGAACTCATGGAATTGTCTCGCTATTAGTTTACACACAATACCACGAACATCATTTGGAAATCAATTTGGAGCGCCGTGAGAGGAAATGCTATTAAATCATTTCCCTCTTTTTTTTTTCTTTACAAAATTGATATTCTTCTATTCAGTCTCTGGCACTGAGAAGCCCCCAGTCGGGTTGATACTTTTCGCCCACATTGTAGCCTGATTCTGAAATCTCAACTAATAGTGGAATATTTTTCTTATACGCTTTTAGGCAGAGAATAGCAGGTGAAATAGGACAAGTGTTTTGGACGACTTCACAATTCTTTTTATGTCTGCACGTAATACGAGAGACGTTCATCTTTCCTCCCACCGCACGTCCCAATATATTGACGAGAATATATCATAAATACGAGAGTTGCCCATCTTTTCGCACCATCTCCATCCACGCCATGAGTGATCTCTCGCAGGGCCCCGACAAGTGGGAGAGACTTCACGAGGACATTTATTTTATTGCATCATATGGCTGAGAAAGTTCCAAGAGGTGAGCAATATCTCAAGATGAAAAAAGGGCCACCATTTGAGGCAGTGAATACTAATTCGGCCGTGATGACCAGAGTGACACTCAGATTCCCCCAGGAATTTTAATTGCAAGTGAAGGACGGCAGTTCGACATTTGAAATTCAAGCAGGACGCTCACGGTCAGGAATATGGTTTCTGGCATTTGTGGCAACTCGCCTCACACACACATGGCTAGATTGATTTACGGCGCAGAACCACAGGACTTCAAAGCAGTCCTTCACTCTGTGTTCACACTCGGGGGAGTTTTCAATTCAACGAGTGTTGCTCTATTGAGATTAAGCGTCTTTTGCCGTCTACTTGTAGGCTTCAAAACGTATTAACTTGCCAATGTGTATTTTGAGGTGTGAGACGTCTGTCCGCAATTATTGCAAGAGGGGAAACCATTAAAACCTATTCAGTGCAGACAACTTTCAATAGTGCTGCACGTAATTCAGTGCTGAAGATAACCAACCACGCCATTGCGAAACACTCCTGCATTCAGATTGCTATTAATATGCAAGAGGGATGAAGTGAGTTTATAAATATTCAAAGAAAAACGGCGAAGATGTGTATTTTCCACCCTGATTACACTGAAAACACCTGTGATTACACCATCTCTTAACTCTTGACTATTGAAGTTATGGTGTAAAACTGTAGAACATTGATTACTTTACTTGAATTTAATTAAAAATCACTATCAGAATTCCTCATAATTTACTAATCGATAGACATTTTTTTACACAAGTTTCTCTGCAACATCAATACTATATAATGCTTATAAGTCTTGAAAATCTGGCTCCTAAGTAGCGCAAATATTAACAAAGTTCCCCTGGAGAAACTTGAGCTATTTAACTTCTCTCCAAAGCATATATACACACTAGCAGCTGAAAACAAGGACGAGAGAGTCGCAGTATTTTCTAAAATGCCTTTTCAACAGAACTTTATCGGTTATTCATTCATGAGTGGGCGGAGAGGTTTGATATTGCGACTAATTCAAAAATCGATTCGAATTAGTATTGCTCCTCTCGTGAAGCACCGCGAGTTGGGACAATAAAAAGTTCAAATAACTATAAATAAAGCTCCTGCTGAGTCTTGTTTTCCATACAACTGCGGCGTGGGTGGGTGACGGGTGGGATTTCGAGAATAGAGAGAAAAGAAATCCATTCACAGAAAAGGTCGCCACATGCCTTTCACGAATTTAATTCAATTGCCATGTCACTTTAAGCAAGACAATGGATTTTCTCGTAGCACTCCTTATTTAAAGTTTTCCTCTTAGCCAAACCCCCGTTTTGCCACCGCCCGTAATTCTCTATTAGCTATTTATTTTTCCGGGAATCATCACTTCAGGATTTTTCCTTTTTCGCACTTTTCCCACACACACAAAAAAACACACTGACTTGTGCTCACCTCGCCTCCCCATTGTTTCCCACCACCCCACCCCCTTCCAAAACTCGCAATGTTCACGGTTCTGTGGGCTTTGCAGATAAA